TCCCATGTATTTTCTATTGTCTCTTAACATCATAGAATAAGTTTCTGACTGTTCCGTAAACTGGTTATCACACTTGGTGGCTGCTCACCAAGCTGTTTGTTCTTCACGGCTGTTTGCAATGACATCACGTGTGACGGTGTAGTGATCAGAGATCGCATTCTTTTCGCGCTACCGTCATTTTCAAATGGCATTCACCTCTTAAAGCGTTCCAAGAGTTTTGAGTGTTTCAGATTTACAATGGCACTTACTCTCGGCGATTTGCCTAAATTCATCTGCGCCGTACTTTTGCCGGTGAGTGATTTTTTTCTGATCTGCTAAGTTAGTTCCTAATAGCTAAAATGCGCAGCTGATAGATGTACTCCCTCTCATTTTGAACGTCTGTTCATTGGGTGCTATTTTTCCTGTGGAGGGCATTGAATCACGTAAGAGAAAATGGCATACCTTTTGTCTATTATACTTATTAAATCTTCTTATCCTTCCTATTCTATAGCGTTTGTCCCGCTCAGTGGCAGGGCACGCTCTTCTGTATGACGACGCCACATCTCCCGATGGTCGCAGTGAATCCCAACCAGGGAACGCCATCGTTGTGATAATCGCAATGGGCTTGACCTCGAGGGAGGGGGGAGGTCTAAGCGCGGGGCTCATTCAGAAGTGTGTAGAGATTCAATCACTGTTCTTCATATGAAGAACACCTGGAGAAACACCTGAAGGCAGAAGCAACTGCAAGCCCACAGAAGGGGAACGAGCGGTGACAAGAAGTGCGACGGCCACCCGCAACGACGTCATGAATTGATAAACAGTGAAATTTCACCTCCGAACTTGATCGCAGCAGCGCATCTGCGTGCACGGAGAAAGCCTCATCTAGGAGTTACACTTTCCCAACACCTCCGCGTGGGAGCCGCATGTAATGGCGCATTGCAGAGGTGATGCCAGTCGGCGCCGAATGAACTATTTCCTGATAACCTTGGCGAAAAGTATGTATTCTAGAATACATACCAAAGTCTTCAAACGAACTGGAAGTGGTATTGCGTTGGAAAGGTGGGAGGTCTGAAAAATGTCGCAACGCCATAACAACGGGGAAGTTTTTTCAAATAGCAGAGCGATATGGTTTATGGTGTTATGAGAGATTCTTTCTACATTTCCCTCTTTCGGAGAACCACTATCAGCTACTGTTTCATAAACGAACAGCCACTATCCATGAAACTTAGTCGCGGCATTTGTCTTCAATCAGTTTTGCACAAGGTAACCTATGAAAGCCTCCTCACTTTAAGATTATCAGCGCCATGGGGATGTAACCAGATCCCTGGGAGCTTTTCGATGAACCCCATACTTGAGCCTCTCCATCCAGTGTCAGCTAAACTGCTACCGATGTGGTGAGATGAACGTGAGAATGAAACGAGTACTTGTTCCAGACGTGCTTAAGATAAAGAAATAAGATGCGCTAAGAGCGACACTCCCGTGCCGAACTGATTCATTTTCGGAGCAGCGACTTTATCTGACCCTTCCAAATGTATGCCTCACATGATTTAACAGACAAATCCGCAAATCGCTGCAGTGCCGAATGCATGTTTAAGAAGTCCGCAGCGAACATATGTATAACTTCCAATTCGAAAATGACGCAAAGAAACGTTAGAGGATTATTCTGTACCGTCATCTTCAGTTTGACTCCACCTACAATATATAGTAACCAAAACTCAGTGCTAGCGCGACTGTGGAATCCATCGCTTATGCTCACTCAATGTCTGTCTCTGCGTCTTTATTTATGGCATGCATATTCAGTGCTGAAAATGAATATGGCTTGCTGGGGCGCCTTTTACAGGATACCGTAACCTTGCCTTTACTGGTGAGTCAACTAGCTATTAAGGATCCATATTTCAACCCCGACATCGACGAATTGCATTTGCAGAACCTGTGTTCAGATGTGATCGGATCGGAAAGGATAGCGTGTCCAACTTTTTGGTAATAGCGGACTAGTCAAGTAAACTAAGATTCTTGCATAGTAAATAATAATAGGAAAAAAATGAGTGCCCTAGGACCCTCAGGTTAACTGGTTCAGAAATCTGCTGATTACGTAATTTGACACTTCTGTCTTATCGCTGCGTCAGGAAAAGGATTAGCACCCAATCTTGTCAAAACTCTTCGATTTATTATATGAGATGTCAAGATTGTGTTGCGTTAATGCATCAAGCCCATTTGTAGTTTCCCCCCATAGGCCTCTCACGGTTTATTTTTATATATTTCTGTGTGCACACCTTGAGTGTATGGAAATAAATAAATAAATAGAAAAAACACAAGTAGTGCAGGTACAAAACCTCTACAATTGTACTTATTCATTGAATAAGGATATGAAATTATGAAAAATTGTGATGAAATCTTAAATATGAAATTACAGTGCTCAATTGACAGTAATAATGTTCTATTTCAGCCAGTTGGTGTCTTCTTCGAAAAAGGTTGCGACTATCACTTGGCGATCTGTATTTTGCTCACTATCCTCGGATATATTCCTGGTATCATCTACGCATGTTATGTCATTCTCGCTTATTAATCAGCCAAAGTCTTTCAATATGTTTGGCAGTTCGCGAATGGGAGCCGATACGTACATTCCCACTGATCATTGAAGATTTCACCATGTCACAGTTTTCCATTGGCTTTGCATTCGCATTAACTGTGCCGTTTAATTGCTTACGCGAATATCTTTTGTTGTACTAACTTCTGAATCAGAAATGTACAGTTGTTAACGAAGCGTATTGTAATAATGATAAAATAAAGTTTTTGACACAATACATTTTATTTTTAGTTTTCGGCGTGGATCGGCTCGAGGAAGGGGAGACATTTGCACTTAGGCTGTTTGCCCACCATAAGAGACGTTCCCATTGCCGTAAAGGGTTGACAAGCAGGGGCACAATCATTGGTCCTTACGACCCCCCGTTTTTTTTGGGGGGGGGGGAGGTTAGTAGCGCCCCCTCCCCTCGCCGCGGGCGCCTCTGTCCGTCGGACCGGAGGGAGGGGGGTGTAAGATGGCACATTGAAGTTAGGAGAAGCCGGCGAGACAATAGGACCCCCCCTGGCGGGCGCAACCAATGAGCAAATACGACCCTCCCCCTTTTAGTAACGTCAGTGAAACGAGAAATAGTCAACTATAAAAATAAATTTTCTAAAGAACATCATGACTCCCTCTTCTCCTGGGGCCAATACGACCCGATGTCGGGGATTTCCCAACAGCGATGTGCCCTGTTGACAAGTGGTCGCTACCAACTTTGACCGGTATCACTTCAGAACTTCACAAAATTTCACAGATCTCCACTTGATGAGTAGTCCCGACAATGGGAATGAGAACAAGTGCAGAATGCCTCCGTTCCCCAAGGATTGCACCTTATTTTCGGAGACAGGCGAATCTATCGTAGGCTGATGAGCTCCGGCGGGCAGCGAGCAGGGCTCACAACAGTATCCACCAACCACCTCGAATCGTATTCAACATCGAATCAATCTTGTATGGACTTCTCTACGAAGCGTTGTAGTTTTATAGCTTTTTACTTTTACTTATTATTTGTTCGGGTGAATCTGACTTCTTTCATGAGATGTTACTTGATGTAGTGTTCCCCAAAACTGTTACGTCTAATTGTAAAGTCGTAAAAAAGTTTTTGGGCAAAGAAGATGTATCAATTCTCCTTCACATCTGATTGTACGCTAAAAACAATTGTTCAATTTCAATTCGCTGGCGTGGGCAGATCAACGCTCCCACCCCAGACTTCTGAGATGCTAACTGTGTACATCTAGAACTCGACCAGTAGCAATAGAGTATTGCGGCGTCACTTTCCGTTAGCACTGTGACCCAGCCGACCACCACGGTTGAGTCACAACCTCAATTTTCTATTTGGTTTCCCCGAACGTTCATTCTCGACGATGCGGTGGGTTTTTTTAGACCAGAGTTGACACTGTATGTCAACTTCTGTTCTGACAGGTAGGGTACCGTAACCCACATGCTTGATGGTGATCAAGGTAGGGTAGGAGCAGGGCACAGCATTCGATGGGGATTTTGGTCGAGCTTTTACGACCCCCCCCCCCCCTCCAAAACGTCCGCAAAGCGAGAAAAATCAACTATAAAAATAAATTTTTCCCAGCCCAAATACGACCCCCCCTTTTGGCGGCCAAATACGACCCCCCATAGGGAATCCCCAATCGAACGCTGTGGCCCTGGGTAGAGTGGCTGTTACGAGTTCGCCACAGCAGCAGAAGCACAAGCGGTCCGCTTGTCAGCTCATCTTCTCGAAAGGTGGAATAGATGATTGTATATAGTTCCGACGCGCTTGCATCCGCTCATAATCAAGACTTTTCAACCTGAGAGTTTCATTTTTGCAAAACCTGGTGACAATCAAGTCTGTTCATCGAGGATGAACGTGTAAAATGAAAATGAGGGAGCTGAGCGACACAGGCACTAGTTGAGCACCATTCCGCTGTTACAGCGCCACGATATTTAATGAACGGCTGTGTCAAAATCTCGTCCCAAAAAGTCGCCTACGAAAGAGTATCTAATGCTGCCGGATCAGATCGTGCAACCGAAGTTTTGGTGTTTGCCCTTAAAAACACTGTCATCTTTGTAAACAGGCACTTCTAACGTTTAACACATTGACGACGAGCAATTTCCTTCATGACTTGCCCGTTGGACGGTACTTTTTGGAAAAAGAAGGTGCTAGGCACCGAAATATTCGAAGAAGAAAGAGTATAAACAATATAAAAATTTTTGTGAAAACTTTTGGATTCTTTTGAATCTTTTGAGTCTTTCGCAATAAATTTTGGCGCCTCTTTTATGTGTTCAACATTCAGGTAACTTTTCATCATCGCAGTTTATTTGATTAGATTTGTGAAAATGTAATTGATTCTGTAATAACTGTTTAAGTAATTGATTCTGTGATAATTGTTCAAGCAATTGATTCATCTCGTCTCAGGCATCAAGAAATGCCTGAGACGAGAAGAACGTTTTTGACACAATTTACCATTTACTGCATCAGCCTTCCGTAATCAGGCCACTTTCTATCGAATTTTTCCTATGGGGACCGATTTGCCATAAGATTCGCCTCTGGGTGTAATTGGACCTCCCAAACATGCGCGATGGCCTGTGCACGATAACTGCCTCGGCGGCCGCGCACCAGAGGCGCTAGTGCTAGGCATGTCATGCAGTCGCGGTCTGTAATCATCGTCATGCCGGCGCAAAACAGTTTCGCCGCTTGAGCAGCGTGTGACATTCATGTGAGGGGTCGGATTTACCGTCCGAGGTTCTCAGCTAATCTTGAACGAAATTAAAAGTCTTTTGGACGTCGGCGATCTGTACTCGCCACGCAGTTTCGTGGCGAGCAGTGTGATATGCGTTATCAGAGGGTCAAGATGCCCTGGAAACGAGTTTTCTGTGCATTCGGTGACTTAGTGTGTTTTGGCGGCGCGGCTCCTCTGTGGCGCGGGCCCACGCACTTTTTTTTCTCTTTTCCCATGAAAGGCTGCCAGAAATTTATGGCAATTATGACTTCAAGAAAGAAAGAAAGTCCGAGGAAGCAGAAATCCTAACCGTATCGGTTTTTGCTGACTTAATTTAGAGCAAAATTGGATGGGGTATTTGGCACGAAATGAAGGAGAACCGTCTTTAACTTGCCATGCATAAAGTGGCGCACACTTCCGAAACTTGCGTCAAATTCCTCTCATACATCATGCATTAGGGGACCTCGACTCAGTTCAATCATTTATAGCCCGCGCGAAGTTATAGCAACCGGATAAAAAATCTGATCCCAGCTTCCACGACGGTGACCAAGTAGGACATTACCGGGAATTTCACGAACGATAATGTGCTCTGCGTGCACCACGAATGTGCAGTGTGGAATGATCGCAAGTCCTGGACACATACAGAGAAGGAATCACGGTGGAATTGTGTAGCGATTATTGGCCAATACTGGCTATAGGGCAGACTCCGTCCGAAATTGCTTTCTGGTTAAAAGACGGAGCTGTCTTTGTAGGTTTTTGACCGTCACATTTCTTTCACCATTTCCCACTACATATCACCCCCTGCTAGCATTTCAGACGAACACCAAATTATGGTGCTCTATGCTGTGATATACCTGTTTACTCGTTTAGAGGCGAAAACTTCTGCTGCATGGCCTCAAATGGGTTAAGGGTCACGTAGTGCTGTGGGGAGATGCCCATAGAGAACGAATGTAGGGGTGTGTGGATGTTCTTAAAAGATCTCACTTCACACCTATCATGCCTCTCGGGGAGACTCGCCTGCGGTGTTGCCTGACTTAATTGCTCTCTCACTAACTCCTGACCTCTCGTCTACAGACACGACTGAGCCAAACTGAACATGGAAAGTAGAAGAAAAAATAAAAGTAAACGTAGGAAATGTCAGAAAAAAGATGTTTCATAATTCGATGTCAAGAACTACATTTAACTTGCATTAGAGCAACTGAAATGCAGACGTACACGACATGGAATTACCGCAATTTGTATGGGAAAAAGGGCACCTATAGAAAAAATCCCATTGTTTTCATCATGGAAGGTATCCAAAAGATTTGAACTTCTTAGGCCTCTTTGATTTCAAAGTTATGAGTTATGAAGACTAGTTATGAAATTAGTTATGAAGAGTACACATCTTGGCATGTATAAAATCCTTACAGACATCATCAACATTTTTTGTCGAAACAAGGCTTTCTGTCGCAGGCTATCGAAAGTTTCACTGTCGTTTTCCTGCCATTTTCCCATTGTGTAGCACCATCATATCATTTTAGACTGAGTACCCAATTATCGTGCCATATGTTTTTTAACAAACGTGATCAGGCAAGTAATAATTATTGACATAATTTTAAATAACATACTAGTAAAAAAATAGCAAAATCCTACTATATATAATCCGCTAAGTTTGTCTGTTGGTGTGTGTGTGTGTGTGTGTGTGTGTGTGTGTGTGTGTGTGTGTGTGTGTGTGTGTGTGTGTGTGTGTGTGTGTTGTTGTTTGACCGGAAATTCATAACTCACTTAATTTCAAGTTATTGAGTTATCGAAGTACTAGTTATGAAGTTATTATGAAACTTCAAAAGTTATGAGTGATGTAGGAGGTGGGACAGAAACACTATTGGTGGGTGGTAGGAAGTGATAACAGCTGATAAGATACCATAAAAGGCGTTAGAAGAGGAGAATGCTCAACTTCATATCTTGGCGCATCAGCCACGAATGGAGCGTTTCCAGTAGGTTCCAGTAGACGTGAATTAAGGGGGCAGGCTTGGAACAACAAACGGGGTGGCAGGAAGTGATAACAACTGACAAGATACCATAAAAGGCGTTAGTAGGGATAGATCACCAAATTCATAGCTTGGGCCACAGCAACGATGAGACGTTGGTTCCAATAGGTGACGAAAGGGGTAGGTTGGGATAAACATTGGTGGGTGGCAGGAAATGGTAACAGCTGATAAGATATCAGAAAACGTGTTAGAAGTAAAAGTCTAACGATGCTCGCCAGTGAGGATTGATAAGAGCCACGGACAGTTAGGTGCGTGAAAATGCTTCACC